CATGACAAGCTATTTAATTGGTGAATAAATTAATGGTATGTCCCATGTATTCAATAATTCACCAATTAAATGATGTACCATGTCACTGGTACTTAAAAGATGGACTAGACTAATGAAAAAAAATCCACATAAAAATGTAATCGTCTCAGACATTTAGTCATATGATAGGGAATAAAGCGTTACAATAGCCCATGTTTGGCCCCTATTACATTACATTTTATTTTTCTTTCTTTTATTTTTAATCATACAATTTTCTATAAAATAATATTACACGTACACCGAAAACTCTTTCTTCTTTTTTAAACACTAATTTTTTTTTTTAATACTACTCCACCCATTTTCATTTCAAAAAATGGGGACCAAAAGGGGCCTAAAAATCAAAAATATTTTTTTTAGATAAATTACATCTATACTAGAAAGATAAACCTAAAATAGATATTTAACACTTAATATTCGTCCTTTGATACTGTACTTAGATGTTTTGCTATGAAGTATGCTCCCAATTGAAATTAATTTTTGTTTTGATCATTAATGTAACACAAAATTTCTACGTTAAGCTATATTTATTGTTTTATAAGCAAATCTCTGAAAAAATCCAACCAAAAAACTTGCCCAATTCTGCCTAGTGCATGTGCATTTGTCAGGTAACGAGTGATAAAATTGTGCAGTATGATTGACATTTTTTCCCCTTTAACATAGTTTTGTGATGTCCATTTGTTCGTACTAAACACATAATTAATAATATACTCTCTTTCGAGAAAATTACAAAGACATTTTCAAAAACATGAAATTGGTTCTTCAAAATCTCAGAATTTTCTTTTCTTTGATAATATATTTCCATAAATCCAACGACGAGAGCACAAACAGTATAACTAGCAAATTTGTCAATGAAAGTATCGAAAAGTAACTGATTCAATCATCCAAATTTTAGATGATTTGGATTAGATCTCGATTATATTATTAGACTGGTTAGTTCAGACCCGTAATGGACCTAAATCAAGTTAGTTGGTTGAACTCGACAGTTCGCATGTATCACCTCAGATTATTATTATTTTAATTGATTAATTCATCATGAATTTTAGTGACTAAATAAATTAGAAAATAATATACAATCTCCTACACACTATAAGTAACGGATCATGTTACGTGACCACAAATCTTGACACATCGGTTGACACATTTACTCACATGGGGAGGTAAGCATTATTTTATTCACCCGGGAACCTATATCTCGATTGTGAGAGATGTGTCAAACAATGTGGTCATGTAGCTTAATTCATAAGTAACAGATATCTCGCCCACCGATTGCCACCTCACTGATGTGGTCTAAAGTATCGATGAGGTGATAAAATCACATCTGACCACCTCACCAGTGGGTAAGAAATAATATAATGACTAACTTGAAAATTTGTACAAACTTTAGTGACTATAAAAAATAATCAGAAAGTGTTGGGTCAGTTTCGTAATTATGAAACGCAGAAGAACAGTCGGAATTCTCTGATAACGTAACTTTTAGCAGAGTTACAGTGATGAAAACAGCCCAATCCTCCATAACTTGTCTTATTATCGATGCTACCCCACTCTCCCTGCACTTCCACTTTCTCTGTTTACACCAATTCTCAATATCTGAAAAGAAATTCCAATTTCATTTCTCAGAACTAAAATGCTAATTACCTGAAAGACTTCATATATTCTCTCCCAATTACACACGCTGCCACTTCTTCTTTTCTCCCCCGGTTTTCGCATCATTTCAGCTCTATATGCACAAGGGTATATTATATTTATGTCTATTTCTCTGTCTTGGTTGAAAAATGTGGAGGTTGTGGATATCTATGTGAAGAAAGTGCAGTGCTGACTGATTTCAGCTGAATTATGTTTTCATACTTTAAGAAATTGAAGGTCGATTCTTGGATCTGCGACTTACGACGTCATTTTCGGTTGCCTTTGAGGAAAAACTAGGGTTTTTTGAATTTGAATGATTTCGAATGTTTCTGAATAATTGAGGGTTATAATTATTATCATTTTTTTGGTTAGTCTTTTTTTTTCCGTCATTTATTGGCATGAATCGGAGTTTTAGGGCATCGGAGAGGGAGAAAATGGGTAGTCTGAGAACATCAATGATGAAGGATACCAAGGATGAGGACCTAGCATTGTTTCGCGAGATGCGAAAACGCGATAAGGAACTGAATAATCTTCTTCTCCTTCAGAACTCTGACGAGCTTGATTCTCCACTTGGTATTATATTAAAAGTTTGAATTTTTAATGTCTTTTTGTTTATAATATTTGTATAATAGTATATGGTGATTTCTGCGTGATTGACGTGAAGTCTTGTTGTGTTAATAAATAATTAGATAAGCCTTTTAATCCGGTAATAGTGCTGACATCTTAATTTCTTGTAGTAAGTAGGCTATGGAGCGATAAAGAAAAACAAATCAAAGAAATACATTTGTAATTTGTTTGTTGGAAGCCGGTGTGCTTAAGTTTCTAATATAAGTATTTTTATTATCTCAATATGCAGGGTCAAGAGTTCGTAGTTCTCCAATATTTAATATAACATCAGCTATACCTGCACCTGTTAGGAAAATTGGTGCTGATGATTTTCTCAATTCAGACAATGATAAAAACGATTATGAATGGTAATCACTAATACCACTTATGGTTTTATTATTCTTCCCATTGTGACAATTTCAGTTTTTGTGGTTAATTAGTGAGGATAGTTATATCATAAGCTTTGGGATGAAAGTTTCTGGCATGCCTACTTGACTGTCTCTGTTTTCTTTGGTGCATTTGGTAATTGAAGTGTGTCTCTTCTTTCACAAGTGCCTTAGGTATGCGAGCACATGAGTAGTATCTATTAATCTGCCAACTACAATTCATAATCCGCGCCTCTGTGATTTTTGTCTTTCTCTGTTGGTAAGATATCAATAATTCAGTGACTTCTGTTTTTATGTTTTGTCACTATTGGAGAGGGACGTGTTTTAAGGAACCTACGAATATGTTATCAAAGCTTTACTCTGATCCTTAACCATTGAGCATAGATGATGGTGGCATTTCAGTTCCCCTAGAGCTGAAAAATGTTAACAAGCTACCAGAAAAAAAAAAACTCATTCAAGTCGGTTTGTTAGCTGAACAAGTCAATCTGGAGACGTGTGCTTATCAGTACAATCACAAATAATTTTTCTTAACTGGATTTGCAACTTTCACTGTGATTTGTATGTAAGGTCATTCAAAGTCCTTTATCATTGTAGTGAAGTTTTCTTATGTTTTCAGGCTTTTAACACCGCCCGGTACTCCTCTTTTTCCTTCACTGGAAATGGAATCACAGAAAACTGTTATGAGCCAGCTGGGAACTCCAAAAGCCCGTCCCACAGCACTAAAATCTAGAGTAAGCAGAATTTGTTTTTGATGTCTTTCTTTTCAAAGTCCGTACTGTACTTTATATGGTGATAATCATATTCTTAAATATTGATCAAGATGTGATGTTAGCAGTACTTCAGGCATAAATAGGAGTTTGATTATTCATGAAGTGCAATTAAAGCCAACTTAAAGCATTTTTGGGAAGTGTTTGTAAATGATTTTTTTTATAAATAGATAGAAATGAGTGATGGGTAGGTGGGTTGAGCTTGTTTATCCCATGAATTGTGTGGATGAAAAGTAATTTGAATATTTATAACCATGACCTAAACATAGGTTTAGTCTCCTATAATTCAGGGCAGTTCCTGATAGTACTCAGAAAATGATTGCAAAAGTGGCCAATACCATTCTTCATGTAGATTGAAGGCAATAAGCACTGTAAATTAAGTAATTAACAAATATAACGTGGCCAATATCTTCTATTAATTTCCTTTTACTTAGTGGAAGAAACAAACTGAGGACTAGAATTTCTTTCAGCATCTTTAACTAGTTCTGGTTTGTCAGAGGCTAAGAACATATCTTGAAAAATATAGTCCATTTATTTAACTTATGTATTCGTCGATATTGTTCATTATTGCAATTGCATAAATAAATTCACGCATCCTCTCAATAGGTGTGCTACAACTAATGTTAAGTGATTGAGAAATCGTCTTTAATTTCTAAAAGAGAAAATGTAGATATTGTTGAATTTTGTTAAACGTGATATAAACTGATTTGTTAGGTATATTTCAATTGGGGCGTTCTAATTCTTCCATCTCTGCAGTTTTTTTATCTGTCTCCACATGAATGAGAATGTGATACTTTTCTTGAATTGTATTTATTTGCAGCCTTGTAATTGGAATATTTAAATTTGTCTATATAATTGATGAACTGATTTGTACTGCAACATGATTTCGTGGCTGAAGCTTGCAAATCCAGAGCCTGAGCCCGGTGCAAGGAGCAACATGTCATCCAGACAACCAGCTTCATCTCCGTTGAATGCCTCAAGTGGTGGTCTTTCTAGGCCTTCATCTGGGGGTCATGGATCAAGACCTGCAACACCAACTGGGCGTCCAACTTTGAGCTCAACATCTAGTTCTACTTTTACCTCGGCATCTAATAAACACTCACTGAACCACAAAACCACCACTCTGACATCATCTGGAACAACATCAAATACAGTATCTAAACCTTCGAGATCTAAGACACCTACTTCCCGTGGCACGTCGTCTTCCTTGAAGCCCACAGTTCTGTCAAGATCTTCTACACCTACAACAAGGTCTACTGCAAGATCCTCAACACCAACCAGGCCGTCTGTACCTGCACCGAAGTCCACTTCCAGAGCAGCAACTCCAACTCGTAGGCCCACTTTAACATCAAGTGCAACATCAGCTGCTCGTGTAAATTCCCCGACTTCATCTTCAGTTGCCAAGCCAGTTCCCACTGCAGTAAAAAATCCAGTTCCACCAAGGTCCAGTTCCCCAACTGTGAGACCCAGAACATGGAAGCCTTCTGAAATGCCTGGATTCTCCCTTGATGCCCCTCCAAATTTGAAGACATCTCTGCCGCCTGACAGGCCACCTTCTGCCACTAGGGGCAGACCTGGAGCACCAAGTCCTCGATCTTCATCTGTTGAACCTATTTCGAATGGAAGGGTTAGAAGACAATCTTGTTCTCCAGCACGAGGACGGCTCCCCAGTGGGACCATTCGTAGCAGTGGAAGCTCTGTCCCTGTGCCTGCTGTAAATAGGTTGCATGCCAAGGCTAATGACAACGTAAGTCCTGTTCTTTATGGTACTAAAATGGTCGAGAGGGTCATAAATATGCGGAAATTGATTCCACCTAAGCAAGATGATAAGCATTCGCCTCGTAGCAGCTTATCAGGAAAGTCCTCATCACCTGACAGCACGGGCTTTGGAAGAACGCTCTCGAAGAAATCTTTAGATATGGCAATAAGGCATATGGTATGTATACTCATCTCATCTAGTGTTACTGATGTTGGAGTGATGCTACAAGTATGTTTAATCATAGTAAATAATGGACATGGTTTCTGTCTACACATTGATAGGATCTGAAAATGTTGGTCCCTGATGCACTATAAGAAATTCTTCCCAGATAAATGAACTCCATGAAGTTCTCAGATTAATTTGTGAATTTTTGTTTGAACAGGATATAAGGCGAACTATTCCAGGCAATCTGCGTCCACTAATGACTAACATCCCGGCATCCTCCATGTACAGTGTGAGATCAGGGCCTACCAGAAGCAAGGCAATCAGTGTCTTGGATTCCCCACTTGCAACAAGCAGTAATGCAAGTTCTGATGTGAGTGTCAATAATAATGCCCTTTGTGTGGAAGGAAACGAAGTAGATGATGATGTTAGCAGTGATAAGGGTATTCGATCTCCTACCAACTTACACGGCAGGTGATGATTCGTTCGAACTATCATAATACTATACGGTCTTCAGTTCTTGCCGTCCATTTATTTTTATTTAGATCCTCAACTGGCATACAGTTGTGCCAAATGAGTAATACTACAGAAAAAACTGGTAGAAAATCAGTTTGTTATGATCAGTGTAAAGTTTAATGCATGGGTTAGATTGTATTAGTTGAAATCTTCATATTATCATTAATGACACTTGGTTATATTCTAAAATGTCTTCCATTTACGTGATGCCTTTCTTGTGAAATTGAGATCACTAAAATAAAGCTGGAGGCAGTTAGTTTCTTGCTGTGCTTTGCTGTGGGAAAAATGAAGATGAAACGCATTATTATGCAAGAAAAAGTTGGGATTCCTGAATGCAAAAGTCTGTTAGTCACATGCATTTCAATAATTGTGAGATTCAGTGGAGGGAGGTCCTAAAGGACTGCACCATTGCCCCCACCATTGTCAGAAACAACGTTGTGGCTTGGCTACTTCGACCTCCACCATAGAAAAAATTGACAGTACACAATTCTTTTCACTGCCGCTAATGTAAAAATGATCCAGATGATGACTTCTTTGAGCCCGTAATCAACTGAAAATATTGTATTTCCCGAATTTACAAAATATATAGCCAGTGCCAACCCTGATAAACAGCTTCTAGCATCTGACTTTGCAGAGGGTTGGTGACTTTACAGAGGGTTGGTGTTTGTTTGTTTGGGGGCTGTACCGGGTCAGTTAGTGGGGTTTTCTGCTGGGTTGCTGGACTTCTTTGGTGGGCTTTTGTTTTTCCTTTTCTGGACTGCTGGGTCCTTCCTCTGGGCCGGTAATTTTGATCTCTTGTTTGGGCTGACCCTTTGGGCCTGTGCTGGCCTTTTTCTTCTGGGCCGGTTGGTTCTTTATTTGGGCTGAATTTCTGTTTATTTGGTCAGCCTTTTGGGCCGTTCTTTTCATCTTTGGCCTTCTTCTCTTTGGGCCTCGGTTTTCTTGCTGGTCGGATTTCTGGCCTTTTACTGGGGCTATTTTCTGCTGGACTTGCTGGGCCCATTTTCTGATCTTTCTTGGGTTCCTTTATTGGGCTGAATCATGCCTAAGAAGAAGGCCCGTTCCTCCTCAATTCTTGGCCTAGTCCCCCTAAAATCTGGACCGGTTACTCATCTTTCTACTGGTCCGAATTCTGCTTTGGGTGGCACTGCATGTGATGCCTTTTCTAAGGCAAATGTTGATGGTGATCTATCAACTAAGGTTGGTAATTGTGAGCTAACGGGGCCGGGTCCCGTTAAACCCTGTAAGGATGATTCTTCTAATGAATTGAACGTCAAAGCTGCCTCTTCTAAGACAATTACTGCTGAAACTGGAAAGGTTAGTTTGCTATCACCGAGCATCTCTTTAACACTTGGTGAAAATGATACGGAATCTGAAAATTCTGATTTTGATCCTAATTCGGAGGATTTAAAGAGCTTTAAAAAGGACAATGATGCTGGAAAAAATATTGGGAATGAAAATAAACCCTCATGGGTTGGCCTCTTTAAAAATAACCGGAAACTTGATGAAAACCTTAAGTTGTCATTCTTTGAATCTCGATCGGATGAAGTTATTTTGAGTACCATGGAGGAGGACAACATAGAGGATAAATGGGGTTTCGGTCTTGTGGGTTATTTTGCGGGTAGGTTTCCCGGAAAAATTGCACTTCTCCAACTTTGCAAATCATGGAAGGTTGAATACAAGTATTTTGTGCATGCAAGTGGTTGGTTGGTGTTCAAATTTGATACCGAGGTTGATAGATTGAAAGTTTTGCATGGGGCTCCGTACTTGGTATATGGAAGACCTCTAATGCTTAAAGTTATGCCTCGATATTTTGACTTTGATGATAAAGATGTAAGTATTATGCCGGCATGGATTAACTTGCCGGGTCTACCTATGGAATTTTGGAATGCTAAGGCATTGGGGATGATTGTCTCCAAAGTTGGTAAACCTATCTCCACGGATAATATAACGGCAAGCAGAGAAAGGGTTTCTTATGCTAGAGCTCTCGTAGAGGTCGATGCTTCAAAGGAGCTTCTTAGGGTGGTCAATATTAGACTCCCTAATGGTGCATTGAGGGTGCAAGAAATTCTATATGAACATGAGCCAAAATTTTGTGGTTCTTGTAAAGTTTTTGGACACACGGCTTTGGGATGCAAATTCAATACAACCGATGATGGAAAACTTAAAGGAAAAAAGGTTGAGACTACTAAAGACTCTTCAAAGGCTGCCCCGGTGAAAATTGGGAAGGCTGGAAATGGAGTTTTACCTCCGAATTCCCAGCACCCTTTCGCCGAAAATGCAGCATCTTCTGGAATTAAAACTGGCCAGCAATGTTTGGGAGTAAATGACATCGTCGGACAGCCTACGGAACGGTTTTCTGGGCAACCTACTCTGGCCGAACAGCAAGGTGATACTTTGGGGCAGAAACGGTCTTCTGGGCAGCCTAATCTGGCCGAACAGCAAGGTGATACTTTGGGGCAGAAAGAGCCCCCTTTTCTCGAAGTTGTGAGCAAGAGGAAGAAGGGCAATATTGTGAAAAAGGGGGACTGTGATATCCCCACCAAATCTGGAAATGATAAGCTCAAAGCAAAGGCCATTGAAGTAAGTAATCCGGCTTCTAAAATTAGTAAGAAGAAGGGTGTCCCCCTTGCTTCATCATCATGAGGATCGCATTTTGGAATATAAGGGGTATGAATCCTCCCCTTAAACAAAATGGGATTCGAGAGTTTATCAAACTCCACGGTATTGATATTATGGGCATCTTGGAGACGAAGTTGGTTGATAGGAGATTGAATAGAATTTTGCAGCTTAAATTTGGCAGTTTCTTGCATGCAAACAACTTTGGCACACATGGGGGTGCTCGTATCTTGATCTTGTGGAATCCATCCAAAGTGTCTTTGGATGTGACGGAGGTTCATCCATAAGTCATACATTATAAAGCTACTTGCAAGGTAACTTCCTTCACCTTCCTTGTTAGTTTTGTTTATGGCTTCCACACTTTGGTTTCTAGAAGGCCTCTTTGGGAAAACATCATGGATCACAACAGAATTGTTGCATTGCCTTGGATGATTTTGGGGGATTTCAACAACGTTCTAAAATTTGATGAGAAAAGTAATGGGGCGGATGTCACCCCTTATGAAATCAAAGATCTTGCAAATTGTTGCCTTCAAGTGGGACTAACGGATGTACGGTCTATTGGTTGCTTCCTCACATGGACCAATGGCTCGGTTTGGAGCAAAATTGATAGGGCTATGATCAATGATATTTGGGTGCAAAATGGGCCACATATTGGTGCAAATTTTCTTCCATCCGGTTGTCTTTCCGATCATTCACCTTGTATTGTTTCCATTGATGATTGTGTTGGTAGCGGTAAGAAGCCATTCAAGTTTTTTAACATGTGGACTATGCATGAAGATTTTCTTGATATTGTGCAATCTTCTTGGCGTGTAAATGTTCGGGGGACTAAACAATTTGTTCTTTGCAAGAAGTTGAGGAAACTTAAGGTTGCTCTTAAGGAGCTAAATTCTAAACAATTTGGTCACATTTCGAGGAGGGCCAATGAGGCGAAATCTGATTTGGAGGCTGCCCAAATTCAGCTTGAAAATCAGCCCGCTAATCTGGAATTTCAGCTTTTGGTTCAAAATTTGAGGAAAAAAACTGTTGGCTTGTGTGAAGCGGAGAGGAGCTTTTATTATCAAAAGGCTAAATGCATCTTCCTTAAGCAAAGTGACAAATGTACAAAGTTCTTTCATTCCATTGTCAAAAGGAACTCTAGAAGGAATTTTATTGCTACAATTATTAAAGAGGATAGGGAGTCTTCTACTTCTCAACACCAAGTTGCTTCGGAATTTGTAAAATTCTATACTTCATTACTTGGAACTTATTGCCCTTCTCGACCGATTCAAAGGGAGATCATCACTAATGGTCCGTTAGTCTCATTGGAACAAGGTAACTCTTTGATCCGGGAGATTACCTATGATGAAGTTAAAGATGCAGTTTTTGATATTGGAGATGATAAATCTCCCGGACCGGACGGTTACACTTCTTGTTTTTTCAAGAATGCATGGGGAATTATTGGTGATGAGTTTGTGGGTGCAATCATGGAGTTCTTCTCTTCGGGTTCTATGCTTAAACAACTCAATCATTCCGTTATTGCTTTGGTGCCTAAGTTGGATCATGCTTCGCATGTTGGGGATTTTAGACCTATTTCTTGTTGTAACATGATCTATAAAGTGATCACCAAAATTCTTACATCTAGATTGAAGCCTATATTGGGGGATATTGTTGACCAAGCACAAGCCGCCTTCATTGAAGGTAGAAGCATGACGGAAAATATTCATCTTGCTCAAGAACTTATGAGGCAATACAATAGGAAGAGAGTTGCTCCGAGGTGCCTCCTTAAGATTGATATTAGCAAAGCCTTTGATTCGGTTAGTTGGGACTTTCTCAAGAGTGTTCTTGAAGGGTTGAATTTTCCATCGACATTTGTTCAATGGATTATGGAGTGTGTTACCACTCCAACATACTCGGTTGCTTTGAATGGAAGTATGCATGGTTTCTTCAAAGGCGGGAAAGGCCTTCGCCAAGGTGATCCACTTTCCCTTTTTTTGTTTGTGATTTGTCTTGAATATTTTTCTAGATTGATCAAGGATGCTACAAGTGATAGTCATTTTAATTATCACCCAAAATGTGGTCCCCTCAAGATAACCCACTTGGCTTTTGCGGATGACTTGATGCTTTTTGCAAGGGGTGATGCTATGTCCGTTGAAATTCTTATCGATTGCCTTGACAAATTTGGTTTAGCATCGGGTTTAAAGATCAAAACTACGAAATCCAGCATCTACATAGCTGGAATTTTCGGGTATGAGCTTCAAACTATCATGGAAGTCTCAAAATTTTCCAAAGGATCTATGCCTTTTCGTTACTTGGGTATTCCTCTTGCATCGGAGAAGCTCAAAGTGAGTTCTTATGCTCCGTTCCTTGAAAAAATAGCGGGTTATATTGGAGCTTGGAGTTGTGCATCCTTATCCTATGCCGGCAAATTGGAACTCATTAGGGCCGTACTTCAAGGTGTTGAATGTTTTTGGCTTTCTATCTTCCCCATTCCGGCCACAATTATTTCAAGAATTATAAGCCTTTGTCGGAACTTCCTTTGGGGATCAAAGAAGCCATTGGTTGCATGGAAGAATCTATGCCTTCCGAAAGCGGAAGGGGGCCTTGGTTTGAAAGACTTGAAGACTTGGAATTTAGCGTTACTTGCTAAATCGCTTTGGAACATCCACAACAAGAAGGACACCTTATGGATTAGATGGGTTCATCATGCTTATCTAAATGACACTTGTATTTGGGAGGTTCGTCCCAAAAAGGATCACTCCCCACTTTTCAAGAAATTGCTTGAAATCAGGGATTTTGTTTCTGCAAAGGAAGCTGCCCAGCACACTGTGTTTTCGAGACAACAACATGAAACTGTGGCTCACCACTCTCACATTGATCAGGGGGGAAATGGGGACACATCCACTGATGGAAGGGCATTAAATGGACGGTTTTTTGGGGCTGGGAGTGCTCTGCACGACCAGATTTGGGGCCCCTCATTCGACAGCAATTCTGGCCGGCAGACAGTTTTCTTCGGTGGGCAGTTTTTTGAAACTTTGACTCAAAATCTGGGCTGTTTTGTGCGTGATAAATTCTCAACAAAAATTGCCTATGAATACTTTAGGCATAAAGATACTTTGAAGCCGTGGGGAGGAGAAGTTTGGAAGCCGTGCATCACTCCGAAGCATTCTTTCTTGCTTTGGTTAGCGGCCCAATCAAAGCTGCTAACTAAAGACAAATTGCTCTTCTTGGATATTGATCGAAGGTGTGTTTTTTGTGGACTTTTCGAGGAAACTTGTGAACATCTATTCTTTAAATGCTCCTTCACCTCCTCATTATGGGGAAGCATTAGGAGATGGCTTGGCATCGCAAGATCTATGTCTACACTTACCATTGCGCTTAAGTGGATGGAAAAGAAGAATCGTGGAACTTCGTGGCGGACCAAGACGAAAAGAGTTGCTCTTGCTAGCACCGTTTACTACATATGGCTTACGAGGAATAGGAAGATTTTTGAAGACCTCCCGGTCGACTTGGATTCTATTGCTAGAAGGATCAAGACACACGTATACAAAGTCATGTTTACTTTATATCCGGATGTCTTGATTCTTTTTGAATCCTTGGCCGTGGATCATTGATCTCTCATGTATTTTGCCCTCTTTGTGTCCCCCGGGTATGCCCGGAGTAGTTGTTCTTGTTTTGAATTTTGATTTGCCCGGGAATGCCCGATGTACTTGTACTTATCATTGACTTTGTTTCGCCCGGGTATGCCCGGTGTACTTGTATTTTATTTTGACATTGTCTTGCCCGGGAATGTCCGGTGCATTTGTACATGTTACAGTTTTGATCAATATATTCACATTTACCGATCAAAAAAAAAATTGGAGGCTCTAAGCGAAAATTTATTTTGAGGGATGTATACGAAAGAAGGAACTCCAACTCCTAATTTCCCGACAACTCAATGGACATCAAATTCTTGTATAAAAACTGAACCACAAAACAAAACCAAATCAAATCAAAGAAAAACTCGACATATCTGAAGATCGCATTTTCATTAGAACTTTAATTTTGATATCTCAGAAACTCAAATGTACCCTCCCAATGTCCAAGTTTTTACATTCAAACTGACTAGACAAGAATTAATTTATGAAATATTAGTCACATCCTCTCTCAAATCATAGAAGTTCTTTGATTAGATATTGACTATCACAATATCCAATTCCCCAGTTCAGACAATAAATAAGTGAATAAACAAGCAGAACAAGAGAGCAGAACCCGGATTCAAGAAAATCAATTTGCAAAAAAAGATCAGCAACGATGCCAAACCTCAAAAGTCTTCTTCAATGGCTCGTCAACAGATCAGCTACAATGAAAATTAGCAACATATCAGTTGACTTTTTTCCCAGATCAAGAGATCAAAAACTCAAAAAAAAAAAAAAGAAGAAAAAAAAAAGAATGTTTATGAGAAAGCTGACTTTTTTCCATCATAGTTCCAAATTGCTTGATGATATCTTCAGTAATGAACACCATTTTTTACTATGTTCTTCTCTACAGTCTCTATAGATTCAAACCCAGATTTCAAACGTATTTCATCGGTGGAAAATCTGGAGAAAGAGTTAAATTATGAAAATATAAAAAGGAACAAGCAAGTAATCACCAAACTGAAATCTGAATTGAAGAAGATGACTTACTACCTTTTGGTTGAATCAATCCCTTGCCTTCATTTTCCTTCCCGTCCCTTCAATTTCCTTCCCGTGTCCTTCAATTTCCTGAAGGTTCTAAGTTTCTGCTGGACTTCCTTGGTGGTATTACTATGAGTTTTGAGGCCCTGGACCCAAACCACATTTTTGGAGGCCCTAGGCGGTTGCCTAGGTGGCTTGGCCCCAAGGCCGGCCCTGTATATAGCCTCTTGTTCTTAGTAGAAGATAGTTGAGTATATGTTTAATTGCTTTCAAGTGCTATAGTTCAAGATTCGATTAAAGCTTACATACTATCCTAATAGCTAAATAGATATTTGGGCTCCTACACAAGGATTCCCTACTAAATACCAGTGCATGGGGAACTTGACTCGTATGCTCCTCTTCCACTTCTCATGGTTATGGGGACTGCAGCCCCAGAGAACTGTAGAAATGTATTTTACGTTTCAGGTATAAGAGGCCTTTCTAGGAGGGATATAGCCAGAATTCAAGAGCTCTAATTTTTATTTTATTATTTATTTATTCCCCCCCCCCCTGCCCTGCCCTATTTGATACTGCAAAAATTGAATAAAATCTAATTTAAAGTTAACAATTAATTTTAATCATACACTTCGTAGAATCTACTACTTTTCAATCAAACATTCAGTCAATTTTTATCAAAGTTTGTTAAAATCTCTACCAAATAGTAGCTTAGAATGTTTACACTACAAGCAATTTGACAAGCTTAAAATAGATGTAGGGTTCAAGCAAATTGTTGAAAATATAATTTAATAAAATTCAATAGCAAATGAGTAAGTAATAGTTGAAGGTCCTAAAAAATGATTAATAAATGAAATTATTGTATGATTTTTATCATCAAATTATAAGAATATTATTAGTTGGACGAGAATTCCTATATATTTTTGAAATGCAAGCAAAAAAGTATGAACGTAAAATGTGTATAATTTTTATTGGCACTTGGGTTCAATTTTGTTCTTATAGAAATTGGATTCAATCAGGCTATCATTCTCAACGTGTAAGATTCCATCCTTAATCCTCTCGTTAACCATAAAGTTCATCAGAACTCCAATCAAATTCAAAAACTAGATCGATTGATCAAAATCTTGAACTGTACAATGCAAAGATCAAATCAATGAAACTATACATTTCAAGAAATTCAATGGAGGTAAGTATACTACAAGGAGGTTTATGCAATTTATCAGAAGTTGTACACTTGTCAATTTCATGTTTTTAACTATTCAAACAAGAATCCAACCAACTTTCTTACGGCACTCATCACTTGATCACATCCTCTTTTTTATATCTCTCCTCTTTCTCTCTCTCATCGATTCGATCACAGCACTGATATGGCAAGCCTGTGGCGGGCGGCGATGGGCTCGGCCCAATCAAGTGAAAACTACGATGGAGTTGAGTTCTGGGTCAACCCGGAACGGTGCGGTTGGCTGATGAAGCAAGGCGAGTACATCAAGACTTGGCGACGCCGCTGGTTCGTGTTGAAACAGGGGAAGCTCTTCTGGTTTAAGGAATCCGACGTCAATCGCGATTCCAAGCCACGTGGGGTGATCCCGGTGGCCAATTGCCTCACAGTTAAGGGCGCCGAGGACGTACTAAATCGGCAATTTGCTTTTGAATTGTCCACTAGGTCAGAGACCATGTACTTTATAGCAGATTCGGAGAAGGAAAAGGAGGATTGGATTAACTCAATTGGGCGTTCTATTGTGCAGCACTCCAGATCGGTCACTGATAATGAGATTCTCGATTATGATAGCCGGAAATGCTGAGAGCGAGGCTTAGCGAGCTAAGCTGGGCCGACTATATTTTATCTCTCTCTTTTTTTTTTCTTTTTTTTTTTTTTTTTTTTAAATTTTTAGTGGTTTGGAGGGATCTGAACTTAAACTTTTTATGGGGAACTTGGTTGTGTTGTGGTGTATATTGATGCCTCGTTTATTCTGTTTCTTTTCCTTTTCATTTTGTTTCTTGTTTCTGGATTCGAAGGGCTCAAAATTGTAATAACTACTGTTTTCAGTGTTAAATGAAATCTATGGATTCTGTAAATTTTCCTTCTGCTGTCAAATTATATTGGGCAGAGTAACTTGCTTTTAAGAATGGTTCAAGAATGAGTTACAGTGCTAAAATGTATCTGAAGTTAAGCTGATACGTTGATTGGATTTGTCGAACTATAGTGATTGGGGTCTATGCAGCTCAGGAGTTGAGATTGTTGTGATGAATATGCTCAAGTCCTTTAGGAATTAAGGATTCCTGAAACCCATATAAAGATTATCTCCCTCTCCTCCAAGATCCTACACAAATTGGCTTGCTCAATTGAAAACCCCGTCTTCTAGTAAAAGGAAGGGAAAGAGATTTGTTTTTGGTGTGTCCTTGTTTGCATGCTAGTTGCATTCTATTCAAGATCGTTTCAAGACTAGTAAAGATTTGTCAGTTCATTCACGACTTCATGCTTCCGGTCCTTACAACTTATTTATTATTCTAAAATGATGGTGTGAATATACTTTAGATGTACATACAGTCTTAAAGCATACAGCTGAAAGTGTTTTAATGGATTTGTTGTGGCTATTTCTTTGAATGCACAAACAAAGTATTTGGCATTCTCAATTAAGGAGAAGTTTACTTGTAAGATGATTGGAGAAAATTTGGTCCTATAATAATCTTTCACCATTAAATTTGTGACCAACAAAGTTGATATAGTCTCTCCTTTTTTAACATGATTATTTCAATTCCGTGTTTTGTTTAGTGAGTGTTTGAAGATAATATTATGAAATGAGAATATTGGTCTATGAGAAGAATTTTCCATAAACTCATAGAATTCCTCTGTGTGTGTGTGTGTGTGTGTGTGTGTGTGTGTTTCTGGACAAGAGTTCTTGTAGAATTTTGTTCCATTGAAAGGTTAGCACTGCATTACATTATACTGATTCTTATTGCGTGAATGAGCATTTCTGATTCACGATGATGAATGAGGTACATAAGAATAAAGGAGTCGTGAAAAAATCGTCAATAAACACACCCTTAGCTTTATAAGTTACTAATATTGGTACAAGTCCATTTCTTTTTCCAGTTCCTTTTTGGTCCTAGATGAAAGAACTGATCTATTAGGTCGAAACAAATCCATATTTAACATTAAAAATTTGTTAGTATGAACTCCCATGAAATTTTCTTCAATGACCATTTGGTTTTCACTTGCTTTCAATTTCCCGGAAAATCTAGCAATAAACCGAATTGAGTGGTAGAAATTAGAAAAAGAATCTGTGTAGCTACCCCAACTTTATTAAGAACAAGGCTTGTTTGCAGTTGTTGTAGAGCATCCTTTTCCCCCACATCTCATGGACTTGGGAGAGCGTATCCTTGTGCTCGTACTTATATATGCATATCAAATTGTCAGTTTCGACCAACATCCTGATCCACGGATGCACAGGCATTGAAAAGTATTATATTGTAGGTTCCCTATGTGTATCATACAAAAAATAGGAGCACTATCTGTTCAAAACTATCTGCCTCTCACACTCGGGATGTTGTAAATCCCACAGGGCAGTGTTCTGAGGATGTCAGTGTTGTGCCAATCTTTGGCCAACCATGATTTGGTTTGGCTAAGCAGAGTAAAAGAAATTTTTTTTAAAAAATAAGGTAAATATCTAAAATAGTAAGTTTTTGAACTATAAATTCAAAAAGAAAAAAGAAAATGATAAAAAAAATAAAAATAAAATAAATTCTAAAAAGCTTCAAAGATGTTCAGAAAAACAAGTTGTGTGTGTGTGTGAGATCTGGTAAAAATGTGTATTAATCAAAATTTTTAGTTCAAATACTCCGGGCACCTCAAACTTACAAACCAAACATTACAAAAAGACCCAAAGCAAGAAAGAAATTGAGTACATCTATTCCGGGCCAAGCCGGGTATACAAATCAAACATTATAAAAGATCGAAAAATCTTAAGCATGCAACTCAAAATGAATCAAACATAACAGCTTCGGCTGATTGAACATGACTTGCCGAATCCCGTTATTAGCTTTTTGAAGATATATGAAGGGAATTCCCCTTCCTAAGTTTCTTCATTCTCATCAAGTTTCCCTTTGAGTTTCTCATTAGGAACTTCATCCAAGTTGGGGGTTTCAAAATCTGCACCCCCAGATCGAACCGTGCTCGATTCAGGTTTGTTGAGATCAGTTTGGTCCCCATTATCTTCTACCACATTCTGGAGTAGGTCTTGCTGTTGAGAGAGCATCTTTCTACTAGAATTAACTCGCTGTGGGTGTTCAATTCTGTGTATTTTTATGTGAGAATTTTTTTGGAAGATAATCTATGCCCCCTTGAATTCTGTTGATGCTTCCCTATCAGCATTAGCAATTGTTGTATGATAATCTAGGTTTAGATTGGATCTTACTTTTAAATTCACACCCATAAGGGTGAGATGATAACCTTGAAGGAGCTTTTAATGACTTAGCTAAATGTTTCATCCCTCAAATTTTCTCCCTTGTTCTCTTTCAGGCGCCTCCCTGAAATGTCCCACAAAGGGCATATTTATACTACTCAATTTGGGTTTCATAATTACATAATTTTCCTTGGACTTTATTGTACTAGACGAATTAAGTTACACGCCTTTACTAAAGCCAAGCTCCAATAGATGTTTCTAATTGAGTCAACTCTTGACCAGGGGTAGAGGTAGGAAAAGACGTTGAGGTGGGATGACATTTTAAAAAAAAATTGATGAACTCATGCTATGAAAGATGCTCCACACCATACCAAATATAGTTTAAAAATCAACTTATGACACTAATGACAAAGTGAGTCAGATACTCAAATAAGTATAAACATATCAATCTTAAAATGTCTTACTAAATCTTTGTAGTTTTTCTTGCCAAATAAAAAATCTTGACACCCTCCTAGAAAATGTAAAATGTGCAAAAGCATGATAGACATGAACAAATGATGTATATCTACCAACAAAAAATTAAGAAAAACCTATTTGCACTATTACGAGACTCGAGACCTAAAAAACAATAAGTCATTTCAGTTATTATAAATACACCGTTCTAAAAATATTATCTGATATGGGTATTAGTCTTTTATATCAATACATTTTAATTTCACTTGAAGTGTGAAAAACTTACCTAGAATATTGAGAGTTCAAAGAAATTGGATTTATTTCGCTTTCATTTTTGACCCACTTCTATATAATATAATTTTAATAATGTCTATTGATAAAATTAAATATAGAGCAATCGCATATTTTGATAATAACATCTATTTCATAGTAAATAATTATTATTTAACTTAAAAGTATAATTAATAAATGAAAGATACAAAAATTAAATTTTAATTACTTTTAAGATTTTCATTTTTTTTTTCGTCCCTTGCCATTTTTTATATGTATGGTTAGTTTAATTGGATGATTCTCTTGCTCATAAGCCTACTACCACGGATATGCTTTTATGATGTGAAGAGGCTAAAGAGGTTAAAACATCAACTAATCCGATTCTATCCTCTCATTTGGGTTTTATTTCTTTGGACTACCATAGCAAAAATAAGGTTGTTCTTTGCCGTTCACTTACCATATTAAATTTTGAAAGAAGTTCTATTATTTTGCGCAAGAGATTTGGAAGTGATCTAATTCTAAAATTTGGTCCATTTAATAAATTAGGCCGGAAGTGGACAAATATTAGACAAAGTGGATAGTTGACTAATTCTAAAGTTAGGTCAAAGTATAACTTCTTTAAGAAAAAAGTTGCAAATCAAAATATGATCTGAGCCATTCAGTCCAATGCAGCCTCCTCCATATCCACGTTTGCTTTTGACCAATTAAGATATATCCATTAATTCCACTTTATTCTATCAAAAAGTCAAAATTGCACTCTCAAGTCGATTGATAATTATTGAAGCAAATTATGATCTAATAACAATATCCTCCGACCATCATTCCATAAGTCAACCTTGTTTGACCATAAACATGTTGAAATCGACAAAATAACAATTTTGTCCTTTTATCGTATATTACCCTTCAAGTTCCATTTTGATAAAGCTAATCCGTTGTGAACTAAGCACAACCTAGAGCCAATGATCCTATCATCGAACTACTAAGTTTGGGTTCAAATGCCAATAAAAAATGCCTTGGAGCGACGATCGTTTTATTGTGATGATTAATGATTCCATTATTGCAAGTATATGATATTTAACTATTTCGTCATGATTCTAAAACACCGAGATCAATCTTTTAATCAAGACTTCACTTATTCACGCCTCAAAGAGCTTGAACCAGCAACCAAACGTACATTACTCACTCAGAATTTAGGTGACTCGTTTGAAATCGAGTAGATTTTCATTCCGAACGACCACAAATGAGTCATCTATATGGTCTCACAATGTGTATTAAAACACATTATTGCTCTTATTTCCAAATCTAGGCAAATCTCAATAAAAACAATACAATATTATCAACATAAAATGTTCAACTTTATATATCGACTGTAAACAATATATTTTAATTATGTCACAAATTATTTCTTACTATACTCAAATCATCAAATATACAATTTGCGACATCCAATATGATGATGGAACTTTGGGCAATTGTTTCAAATTATAACACGCGAATGATCGAACGTTAATTTATAATGTCATTTTACAAAATACTATTAGAAGGATATCAAACTAACACTTCCTTCCCTGTTGCTTTAAGGATTGGAGAAGAGGAGTAGATGAGTAGTCCTTGAGAGTATGATGAGGACAATAGACAAACATTTCATCTAGTATTATCTTCTTTGTTGAGACTAGCATTAATCTCTTCATTATATCATCGATTGATCAAGAAACAAACATCTCAATTATGTCACTTAAGGGTTTGTTTGACATAATTTTTGAAGAGTCAAAATGAACTTTGGAGATTCAAATTTTTTTTTTTTGGACCCGTTAAATTAATTTTATAAAAATGCCTTTTTTAATTAAAAGAACTTTTAAAAAAAATTGGTCCGATGTAATTTCTTTTCTAAAGATGAAGCCCTTTAAAAATTAATCTTTAAACATCATTTATGGAACCATTTTTTCAAGAAATTCTTTTACAAAATGCAGAAATGAAAAGCAAAGTCCTATCCACCAAGCAATTTAAGCAGTATAATTTGTCTATTTTTCATTTTCTTCTCACCCAACACACATTTATATTTCATTTCCCACCTTGCTTTTCCAAGAAAAAATAGGGAAACTTCGAACTATCAAACTAATAACATTACATTCAGTTCATACTGAATTTATATTCCAATTAACAAAAAAAAAGGGAGTTTTTTTACTAAATCAAAACAAAATACGGACTCTCCCAATTCCGATCAATTAGAAAATAAAGACTCGTCAATTTCAATCTTGACTACCTCTCCATCATCATACTTATCTTTCCTAGGCGGCGCCGGCGGTACCGGAACCCTCGGCGGTCCTCTTCCCTTATTCTTGTCCTTTGGCCTCGCCTATATTTATCACAAATATTTTCCAGATTATCCAAAAAATAATAATAATAATAATAAAAAAAAAAAAAACCTAGACTGCCAAATGTGAATCCAAAAATATTGAGAAAACTCACATTGCCAAAAGAGTGATTGAAACGCTTGCCTCTAGCAGTCTTCTTGTCCCCTCTGCCACAATATACTGCAAACCCATAATTAAATTACCATTATTAGCTTCACATATACATAAACATATAAAATTGAGAGAGAGAGAGAGAGAGAGAGAGTGTGTGTGTGTGTGAAATCGGCTTACTTGAAGGGAGAGCTGGAGAAGTGGGTGGAGATGAGATTGATGTGAGAGAAGTCGAGAGGGAAGCGGTGAACAAGGATTGGGATTTGGAGAAGGAAAGAGTGACAGATTTGGAGGGCATAGGCATTGCCATTGGAGGAGCTCCGAGCAAGAGTGATGCCATTGGAATTGAAGAATTAGGAAGATAGAATTTGGGGCCTCATTTGTTGTGGATAAAATGGTTCTCAGCTCTTGGACGACACCGTTCTGAAACGGCAGCCGTATTAATTTTTTAATTATTTTCAAATTATTGACAAAATATCTATAGTTAAAGTTATCTATAATTCTTGTTTACGCAGAATAGGAATTACTTGTAAATATAGCTTATTGGAAGCGATTGTGCTACGTGTATACAACATCTTACGTATTTATTTATCGATACACGATATGACGATATTTGATTGAATCATAATCTCATAACCATATAAAAAGAAAAACTCTTCCTCTCTCTTTTTAGGATAAATATATTTGTACAAGGGACGGATTCAGGATTGAATCCAAGACCGAGCTACAAAATTTCAAATCGAGCTACTACGTGTAAAAAAATATATATTTACACATAAAAAACTGATTTTTTACCAAAAAAATAAAAAATACCTTAAAAAAAAGTTCTTGGGCCTGAGGGAGGAGGACTACATCCCAGCCCAACCCCCCCCCCTCAATCCGTCTTTAATTTGTACAAAATTTGGTTTACAAAAAGTTTTACTCCCTCTTATATGAGCGCGGGCCCCGCATGAAATAAAAAATTCCAACATATGGTCCCACCTTCCCATTGTAAGTGTAAGTAAAACTTTTTGTAAACCAAATTTTTACATCTAGGATTGTCCCTTTTTTTAACACCTCATTCACTTATAAAAGATTATGTAAATGGTGGTGTACAACAACCATTTTCCTACTTGAAAAGGGGTCTTCCACTTACAAGTAAGAAAAAAATATTGACATTGAAGCCATTTTAGAAAACTGGTAAATTGATTATAATAATAATTGAGTAAGATATGATGCATCATACAAGAACAAAATGAATGAGCTCAATGTGTCTTTGTACGGGTAAAATGCATTTGGAGTCACCTAGTTTTGAATTGAGTTGTATTTGGGTCATTTATCTTTAATCTGGGCAATCAAAGTCGATTTTCTCGCAAATCTTACTCATTTTCAATTTGGTGGGCTGAACCTTACCAATGAGCTAATTACTCGTCGTGCAAGCCTCCACTAGAGCTGCTGCTATGTCAAAAATTGAGAGAAATCAAATCTTTTTTTTTATTGCCACCATGTCGATCATTCAATTTCTATTTGCTTACAAATATGATCATTTTGTAGACTAACATAATATGTTTATGATAATGTTAAAACTAACAATTGATTTTGTAGATGTCCACATCATAATATCATATAACAATATTCATCAATCCACAAGAACGGCAAAATTCTTTGCCCCCAACCAACCACAAATTCTCTAAACCACCCCAAATCTTTTAACTTTAATTTAATTTAATTTTTCAATTTAAATTGTATTTGAAAAATAAATAATAATATTTTGATCTGGTAATAAATTTAGATATTTCAATGTCTCGCTTTTGAAATTTCTTGATGGATCAAGGCCAGACAGCTCACCCGATTGCTATCCCTCATCCTGAAAAAAAATATTTAGAAATGTGCATAAACTAATGACAGTGAATAAAATGATTATGAGTCTGTTCGACAATCATTATTGTCGGAAAAGAAGTTTTGAACAGTAACTTTTAGGATAATGTGTGGTTAAAAAGTAGGAAAAATTTATGTATACATGTTGAATACTTTGTGAATGCGTGATTGAAAACGATCATATAGCAAACCATAAAGTAAATTAATGGTTGTCAATCAGGTACTATCTTTGCATGCAAATTAAAGATAGGTGACTTGATTGGAAGATGAGTAAATAGATGTGCAACTCCACTCAAAATTGAGTGACCAGCAAATTGCAATGCATTTAACCCATTTTTATACACTTGTAGAGCAATGTGGTTGAACATTCCCCGAGTAATTATACTGGAACTACAATTTTCATTTGTTGTACCACTTCTTAAATTACGCTAAAGATCTTCAATCTTTGCCTATTGTCGTAATTGCATCATTACCATTTTTGGCGCGTTCTTTTCCCAATCTTTCATTGATTAGCATATCTATGTAGAATTCTGTTTTCACGTGCTCTAAAATTTGGGACAAATATTTAATCATAAGTTTGTATTTGTTGTTTTTTCTAAGTTAAAAGCTCGAGGGGGCATATAAGCCATCTCATACTGATGGATGTTTTGGACAAAAATAGTTATACTGGACATGATATGCTAAGTAACAAAAGATTAAAGACTTTAGTGCAAGTAAAAAGCAGTGGAACAAGAGAATTTCAACTAATTATGTTCACATATGATGTTTATCTTATCCAACTCTTCATAATTTATCAGCAAGCCCAGTCATCAAGTAGCAGAACAATGACCGATTCCTTCGAAGTCTTCATGTACAAATTTGTCTTCATTGCTAATCTTTGCTGGCTGTTCGTTTACGAATGCTGATTCAGCTAGCTCAATGGCATGGACAAGCTGGGCAGCTTTTCTTTGACACTCAATCTGCTTCTCATGGGGATCGCTATCAGCCACAATTCCAGCTCCAGCTTGAATATGAGCGACCCATTCTTGCTTCTTGTTGGCATCTTTGTACGAAAATATTGTGCCATTACAGGCTTCAGTAGAGAATATCATTGTCCCAATTGCCAGCACAATTTCCATATCTCCTGTAAACGAAATTCCTCCATAGCCTCCACTATAAGGTCCTCGTCTTGTTACTTCAAATCGATCAATCAACTCCATGGCCTTCACCTGTATAAGAGACAGAAGATAAAAGGCTTGTAAACAATAAGGAAAGAGTAATAAACAAACCTTTGGTGCTCCACTAACTGTTCCAACTGGCAATGTAGCTTGCAGTGCATCCCAGCAAGTCAAATGATCAAGCAACTCCGCTGTGATCTGTGAGTAAAAAATTGTAGTTGATTATGAAAACTTGCTTCTTTAACAAAGTCAGCCTACATTTAAAGGTGAACTGAATTGTACATTCTCACCGTGGAGCTGATATGCATCACGTGGGAATATCGTTTAACAGTCATAAGGTTTTCAACATTAACAGAAGTTACAGAACCAGATTTCGAGACTTATATTAAGAATCCACAAAAATATATGTGATTAAATTTATGTTTAAAGTGTTAAGATATTTTATCAGAAAGGGCACACACTTAACAGTAGCTAGAGAAGCACATAGTAATAATGATTTAACACTTAGAAGCACTGATACAACAGATAAATATTGGTGAAAATGGCTATCAGGGTTAACAAATTTCATGTGCTTAAACCTACAGGGCTGCAGCCTGTTACTGCTATGAAAATATAATCCAGCCACCTGGAAGAAGAGTAGGATCCTAGACTATATGGAAAAGACCTTAGCCTTTAATTTAGATAAGAAATGTACTATGTTTGTCAAAATTTATGCCACTGGTCGCAAAGATTTTTAGAATTGCAATTATTTTTATGACTGTATCAATAAGAAAGAAATGATTGTCATAACTTCATAGAAAATGAATTTGAAGAGCTGCTGATCTTGGCTGAGGACAGTACAATCCCACCAGAAGTTTCATAGATACTATGGACATAGCAATAAAAGGAAACTAGGAAGAAACTACAGAGCAGAAATTATAGCGGGAAACATAACATGAATAGATTACATGCTGTCAAAATTTAGCACATAATATCTTTTTTCTCACAATATCCTTTCGGATTAAAATAGATAAAAAGAAACCTTTCCGACATCATTTCGGCCCAAATCAACCACCATAATGTCTTCTGCACATTGCTTTTCATCCTTTAGCATCATAAATTCTAACATCTCGTTCTCAAGAGGTGTCTTCCCTCTTTTGATGGTTCCAGCCAAGGGTCGATTAACAATCTTTTTCTGTCAAGAAGAATGCCATAGAAAATTTATGTCAGTATTTGCCCTAAACCTATGAGAACTATGGAAGTTACAGAAGACCTTGAAGATATCAAAGCATTGATGATATGTGGATTGTAAAAGTAACCTTACACAACCAGTTCGATTAGGAGAAATTGGACCACGATTTTACCTTGTTGATACAAGTAAGAACTTCTGGGCTAGAAGCAACCAAAATACACCCTCTAGCCTGACATGAAGTAAGAATCCAAGATAAGATTTGGCATCAGCCGTGTTAACTGATTAAACGAAGGATAGTGATAGTCAAAGAGACAAAAAAAAAAACCTGCAAATAACTCATGTATGGACTAGGATTCACAACTCTTAAAGCTCTGTAGATTTCAAATGGGTCAGCAAGTGTACTTCTTTCAAAGCGTTGACTCAATACAATCTGGAAGATATCCCCCGCTAAAATATGCTCCTTTGCCTGTACAACAGCATTCTTATATTCCTCACTTGTCATGTTACTCTTGTTTAAAGTGAGTCCAAAATTGTGATTGTGCAGGTTGACGAAACCTGGAGATAGCCTTGGACTAACATATGATGATAAAAATTACAGATTAGCAAGTGTAGATTACGTTTCAGACAATCATTTTCAAGGTAAGATATCACGCAAACTTTGTACTCACGGATCAATGTCTTTTACTCTGGACAACAATTTTTCCAGGCGTGTGATTCCGTGGCTGTAAGCCTTCTCAGCGGACGAGAATTTATCTAAGCAGACCCAATGAATTACATATACTTTCTGCACCGACAAGGGGAATTCAAAAGTTATCTCAGTCATATAGACAAATAGAAATAAAAGAATGACATATACAGATAGACAAAACTACGCAAAGTGATGCAGAGAAATCTGACTAAATCAAGATGGAGCTGATGAGAACTGCTTTTAATAAGTTATGGGAAAAAATTGTTAGTATGCGTAATTAAGTCTATATAAAACATTTCTAATTTGACAACCACTTTGTCATAATTGATTTTGTGCGGGTTAGAAGTTCTATTTTAGTCCATAAAAAGGAGAAAAAAAAAAAAAAATTGTTGAGATAAGGTCCATACATTCTGATTAATAGTCCTTTACCTTCTCTACATGATCAAAAACGATGACATCGTCGCAGAGTCCAAGATGGATGTCAGCTAGATTTCTATCATCTCTTGGTGCACTCGAGAATGAAAGCCTTTTCTTCTCT